TAAGCTTATCCCTAGCCTCTTTTAGCTATGATTACTTAGCCTCTTTTAATTATGATTGTTCCAGCCCCATACCATTACATGATACAATTGACTAGACCAGAAGATGCATAACAATTTCGTCAGATCATAAATAGGAAGTGTATTAACCATCAGAAAAAACATGAACCGAACCATCAAAATCTGTATTTTAATCAAATTAGTCTGGTCAATTTTGCACACAAACTTCATTTCCCTTAAAAGATATATTAATTGTATGATAGCTCCACCATGGGAAAGATAATATTCATCAAGTAACAGCTCCACACTGAAAGTGAATCATTAAAATGGTCTGGTGCCACCACTTTCAGACATTTTCAATCAGTTAATCCACTTAACATTACCTCAGCCAAACCATTAGAGTTGATAGTAGATGGTCAATCAGATGATAACAGGGTCTGTCTAGACTCTGAATACAAGATACACCATCAATTTTATTATATAATTTACATTACCAATAGTGAGATTAGTATCAAATTTAATTTTACTATCAAAATGCCAGATTTCTAATTTGTTTTACGTGTCATAGTTTTTTAATGACGCAGAAAAACAGTCTTTGAATAGATGTTACTTCAGAAGTAAGTTAGATTAGAAGTAGTTCAGTCTTCTAAATGACAAATTATTACGCACTTAGTACTTATACCTTGACTTCGGTCTTCAATAGCCACCTTTCTTGTATCACAGTAGTTGCAGCCATTTTCAGATTGGATTGTATGGTAGAAAACACAGGTATAAGACATTGGGAAGATGGAATTAATCTTGTCTAGATTCCCTTGACTTAGCAACAACCATAACCATCAGTAAGTGGAAAATTTGGAGACTGCTTGGATACAAGTTTGACTGTTACCAACAAGGTTTGCAATCAGTGAGTCTTATTTATTGATAAGAACAATGAATTGTGTTTATAAAAGGACTCTTTTTTATCAAAATGCCATTTGCTAACTGTTCTGCTATCCTAGAATTTTATTTATAATGTTTGTGAAAAATTAAAACGGAAATAGCAAAATACATTTACAGAAAAAGAAGACATTATTTCTGCCCTGAATATTTCTTATTTTAAATGACTTGACTGCATTAGGAAACCATCAGTTTTCTATTCTGGGAAATGGAGATCATTTGATTTAATGTACTTGCTATTCATCCAATATAACGTTCCATTATTCAACCTATAAATACATTATATAAGATTTACGAGTAAAATACTTTAGAGTAATTGTACTATGAGCTAAGAAGAACAAAGGATGACATTCTGAAAATGGAAAATCAATACTTCAAACATTAAACTTCTGGTAAATAGAAATTCCACTTGTTTGAAGTTGCAATTTGCCTTTCACTTAGACAAAAATTAAGCTATAATACAACTCAAGGCATCAAACAGTTTCTGTTAAATAGATTATACATCAAAGCCAGGAGACAAATTTCTCCATGTCAGAATGCCACACCATAAAATATATCTGGTTTAGACTTTTAATGAATACTTGTTAAATAGAATTCCTGTGGCAAGAAACTAGAGATTATAATCTTCCGTATTCAAAAACTTATATTTAAATGGACATGTATCTTCACAATGTCAAGCTATTACGAGCAAAACCTTTATATTGATAAATTGACCATCCAAGTGCATGCATTTTGCAGCTTCTAATCAATTAGTGCAATCACTCATTTTCAGCTTGATTTGCTCAGGTCAATATTCATTTAAAAACTTCAGTATTATCTTAAAGGGATAGGTTTGTCAATGTTGGGGGTTGATTTTGGTCTTGAACATACTTAAATAGTCTCTATATATAACAGAGTATTAAGAAAAGACAAATGTTCATTTTTATTTTCAAACGCAGATAATTCTGGACATACATCCATTTGAAGACACAAATTTCCATAAAAAGGATATAAATCAAAGAAAAGGACAGTTTTTAAATACATTTATAACCTGTTGTAAGTTTGAGTCCAATTGAAAAATGAAAGTAAAAGTTAAGTCCTTCACCCAATATACTTTCAGGTGTATCTATTATATGACATGTAGACGTCAAAAGATTGATCCTAATGAAACATAATGGCAGATTTTATAATGGCATATCTTGCATGTCTAAGATTAAGGCTGTCCAATGTCATGTGATGCCAAGCTATATCCAAACTAATGAAGAGACTATAAGTTATCATTTAGGTTCAGTATGTGGCATCACATGAAACTCCAGTACTAAAGCTGCTTTTTGTGTCAGAATGATTTTGAACATATTGATCTATACCGGTACTGTTGATATTTAAACAAATGCTGTGGTTTTATTTCAAAAGTAAGAAGAGTTTTGGTACAGACATTGGCAAAATTGAAAAATGCAAATAAAATCCACAATTCTCCTTAATACACATTGAAAAAACAGAAAGTCTTCAATATAAACCTAGGCATAACATAGCACAGTATCTAATAGTAATAGTGCATTCAGACTAAAGACACTACAGCTTAACTTTCAACTCTTTTTGAGCCAAGTTTAGCCCAGAATTTCATAATCGATTAACTGTCAAAGTCTGATTCTCTCCAAGGTCACACTTCCACAAAGTTTCAGCATAACTTACCCACAATAAGCAAAATTTTATGACACTAACACCTTGGAATTAAAGCTTTGCACATGATTTAATTTTTGTATTTAGAAGATTTTTTAATTTAAATATTTTGATATTTCGATTATTTGTTTAGAAGAATGTTCACGCGCAAACATGACACAGTCGGCTTATTGTTAACTAGTTGCGTTCAGACGACCAAACTAAGCTTGCTCAACATGTCAAGCCAGGTTTTAAGTCACCTCCTAAGTATGTGCAGCTTAAGTTGAACCTGTTGCGTGCAGACGAATAAAAATGCTGTTGATACTTATGCTGCCTTGACTTTAGTCATCTGAACCCACTTTAAGCCTACTCACATTTAAAGGAGTATTCGGCTTTTTTGTAAAAGTTTTCATAATCAAAACTGAAACTATTTCTTAAGTATGCTGTTTATATCTATGTATATTTTTGATCGAATTGAATTTGGTTTAAAACGGTTAATTAAATTAAAGAGACTGGAGAGTCCTAATTGTTAATTAAGCACTTTGACCTAGTTTTGGTGTTTGGCTTTAATAATGGCTCAATATTATTATTTAAAACCATTACAATACATAGGAGACATATTTCTCTACAATTAGGCATTTATTTTACTCAAATCCATAGAGTAGTTATCAAGCAGCTTCCAATAAGCATAAGAAACTTAAAAACCTTAAGTAAAGTTTTTAAATATTTTGGGGTTAATTAACAGATTTTTTTAGTCAAAACTTTCAGATATATTAAAGGGCACATTTCTCTAGATTTCACTGTACATATAGTTTTCACAAAGACAAAATTATTTTCGACCTACAGAAAAATGTCACTTTAACTACCGGTACCAGTAGATCTTCTGGTACTATTACTTAAATTATCAGGCGTGTGGCACATAAATTAAATTAATCCCAAAGCTCTTGATAAATAAGCAAATGAAAACTAAGCTATTATACATTTTTGTAAACATAATTAATTGAGGTTTACAGAGTTTGGGATATGTGCCATTTATTGTCATATATAGGCCTACCTTTCAATTTCATTGAATATCACGATGACCTTACAACATCTGAAGCCAATAAAAATAGATTTTATTTTGTATTAGATGATTTTTAGTGATGATAGTAGTAGATAGGCCTTCATTCAAATTGACTATCTATCATCTATCTATGCATTATTTGCATATGATATGATGTATGATACTGATGATGCAAATTGCAGAAACTGAAGTGGAACTTAATTAACTTAGAATGTTGGGGCATGCCAAATGTTTGTGTATTACCCTAAATGTCTTAAGACAAGAGCCATCTTGCCATCATCAGCAACACTCAGTCATCAAGTTTCGGACTGACTCCGTGAGCTAGGCATATCTGACATCTGTCATTTAATTCAAAATCATAACAAACTGTTGCAAGCTCAACTCCTGGCTTGGTGAAAGAAATCGTTCGAAACGTTTCTTGTGTACACATATAAAACAAGGATAGTTCATTTAGAGTTCACTCACCGTAATGTATTTATTGTTCTTCGACTATTAATACAAACATTCAACAACTTCACATTTTCTGCAACTTTTCTTTTATAAGATTTTTGACTTTGGAGGGAAATAGCGGAAGACGTTTTCCCGTACTCTCGTAACAATTGAGATATTGCGAGAATTTCTGAGATGTTGGGAGAGTCTCATTTTTAAAATAAAGGGTTGGCAGATAAAATATGTTTTCTTTTAAAATCAACACAGTCATTTAATCATACTACTTTTTTTTCAAAATGTTAACCTTTTCAATTTTTTGTAATGAGTTAAAAAAAGAACAGTTTGCTGGGTGAATCAAAAAATTGCTAAGTTAATAAAATACGAAAGCCTTGAAACCTTTAACCCCTCTGATAATTATTAATTAGGTCCAAAACGTTTCTCACATGGCCAGCGTCAAAAAGTAAACAAGAGAAGTAAAGATGCCAATTTCTGAAGATTCCATAAAAGATATCTTCTTTGTAAGACAACTTTCAATATTTCTTTTCTGTCTTTAAGCTTCCCAAGGCTCAGACCTTCAATTATACTCCTTATGACGTTCATATTCTCGAAACTACACCTTATATTTACACAAAATAGACTAAAAATAGGTCTACTTATCTACAATTATTATAATTTGCCGGTCGGCTGACATAATAATAATAACATGAATATTAATTTACAACCGTGCGCCATTTTATCTGTATGAGGACCGTCTTCTCTTCTGGAATTTTACTGAAACAGATGGTGTAATGATTTTCAGAACCCTTCATTCTATGTAGAAATTTGTCAAGTGGACTTTGTACCACAAAATGAAACATTCAGTGACAAGTGACTTCTAACCTGTTTGCAATAAAGACACTTGTTAATGTTCAGTATGGAAGTAGGAAAGAACGACAAAATGATAGAAACAAGTGAAAGAAGGCAGAGATTGTTAAGGGCTGTGAAAAAGGAGGTGAAACAGATTATGGAGGAAGCAGTAACCAGGAAATTTGTGCATGAAGAAAGTGGTAGTATAACATCATTGTGTGGGGCTGTGGAGGCGTGTCTGTTAGATGGATTAAAGAAAAGATCTCTGGGACTGTTTAAAGAGAGCACTACTGTAGCACTGTTCCAAAAGACTTCCAAATATTGTAAGGCTGCTTCTCAGGTTGCAAAAAAAGTGATGGAGTTGGAATCAGGGAGCAATGAAAACGGCTCGAAACGATCAATGGATACCTTCAGATTATATACTAAAAGATATCAGTCATACAATCCCAGGCATTTGTGGTTACGTCAGTCTATATTTGAAAAGCAATTAACAAAAATCTTGGAGTATCTGGTGGAGAATAGTGGACGATATTATGAAGTGGATTCATTGGTTGCTGACCCAGTAGATGGACCCATCTTTGCATCATTACTAGTGGGTCCATGTGCTTTAGATTACACCAAAATGAAAACGTCAGATCATTTCTGGACTGATCCTCCAGCTGATGAACTGGTTCAAAGACACAGAATTCACTCTGGTGGAAATCATGTCTTCTCTAACCAAACAACTCCTGGGTCACCGAAGAGACCAGGTCTACAAATACGAAGAGCCAAAAGTGGGAGTGAAGACTCTCCAAAGATGCTGCATGTTTCTGCAAGGGAATATGTTGAATCTCTTCATCAGAATAACAAAACCACTCTATTGTATGGGAAAAATAATGTCCAAGTTCAACCAAAGGAAGATGTCCCTTCACTAGCAGGATATTTGTCTCTACATCAGTGTGCTGAAAGGTTGATGATAATGTGGACACCAAATCAACTGATGAATGGGGGATCTGATAATGTTGATGATGATTCAGACAGAAGTATATATTGGGAATATGCTATGACAGTATTTTTAGATGAAGTTGTCTACATCCACTGCCATCAACAACCAGATTGTGGTGGAACTGTTGTTCTGGTGGGACAAGATGGTGTTCAAAGACCACCAGTTCATTTCCCAAAAGGAGGGCACCTGCTAGCATTTTTGTCAGTCTTAGAAACAGCATTGTTACCCCATAATCAACTAGATCCACCTTTATGGAATCAAAGAGGAAAGGGGAAGGTGTTCCCCAAATTGAAGCGTAGAAGTGGTCAGTTGTCCAGTGCCAGTAGTAGCAATAGCAGTACAAGTAGTTACAGCACTGATGAAGAAGAAGCCACTGATTATGTTTTCCGTATCATTTCCAGTTTCAGACCTGAGAATATTACAGCTGAAATGTTGGATCCGAAAGTGAAAGGTTCTAATGAGGGTCTACAACCATATACAGTAAAACGTAATTTACCTCCCAGCCCTCTTATAAAGTCTTCAGTTCAGTGTTATGCTCGGGCCCAAGAAGAGCAAAATACTACTTGTATATATGAATCAAATGGACACCTTCATTCTCATATTAAACAACTGTGTGACACTATGAGAAAACAAATTATCTCCAGAGCATTCTATGGATGGTTGGCACACTGTCGTCATCTTAAAACTGTCAGAACACACCTGTCGGGCCTAGTCAACTCAGCAGTAGTGCAGGCTGATAAACCAACTGATGCTACTGGAGGGCTGACTGAAGAAAAATGGCAAGAATTTAACATAGATGGTGTTGTTATTAATAAATCAGAAATCTATAGATTGGTCTATTTTGGTGGAATTGCTCATTGTCTCAGAAAAGATGTCTGGCCGTATCTTCTTGGTCATTATTCATTTGGTAGTACTGTTGAAGAGAGGAAAATTGTGGATGAACGCTGTCGTTCTGAGTATGAAAGAATCATGTCTGAGTGGTTAGCTGTTGAAGCCATTGTCAGCCAAAGAGACAAAGAGCTTATGGCAGCCAACTTGGCCAAGTTTTCACAAGAGAGTACAGATGGCGTTATTCCTCTGATACGAAAAGATTCTAGTTTAAGCAACGATGTTTTTGAATCCTTTGATTCTGAAGAATTTTCTCATCCCTCTACAGTTCCTGAAGAAAGCTACAATCCTACACCAACCTCAGATTTAAAGAACAACCTGGACCTGATTCAGCCTACAGATTTAGAGCCAGTTCTCCATAAACAACTAGACTCACTGATAGATAGTCCAGACGATGGTTTAGGAGATTCTATAGCTAGGGGAAGTTCCACAACATATCGCTCAGAGTATGACTCTTGTGATTCAGAAATGGTTGATTTTGATAAAGATCGTAGTAATAAGAATGTATCAGTAACAAAAATGTCAGTAGACAGTGATGTTATTTTGGAAGAGACTGAACAGCAATCCATTGATTTTGATGAAGATTTGGAGAAATCGTGTGAAGTTGAAACGATAGAGAAATTGAATCTGAATTATAATGATCCAATGGTTACTAATCAATCTTCAGCATCTAAAGAAAGTCTGATTTCTCCAGCATCACCTGCATCTAATGGTGGCATCTATTCTTCTGAGCTGTTAGACGCTGTAGCATTAAACCTTCACCGAATTGATAAAGATGTCTTACGATGTGATAGAAACTATTATTATTTTACACCAAATAATCTTGATAAATTACGTAATATTATGTGTACCTATGTTTGGCAGCATCTAGAAATAGGGTACGTTCAGGGAATGTGTGATTTAGTCGCACCGTTACTGGTTATATTTGATGACGAATCTCTTACTTACAGTTGTTTTTGTGAATTGATGAAAAGACTGACATGTAATTTTCCTCATGGGGGAGCAATGGATACACACTTTGCTAACATGAGATCCTTGATTCAGATATTAGATGCAGAATTATTTGAGCACATGCACCATTATGGTGATTATACACACTTCTATTTTTGCTATCGTTGGTTTTTATTAGATTTTAAACGTGAGCTAGTCTACGATGATGTATTTTCGGTATGGGAAACCATATGGGCAGCTAAGCATGTTAGCTCAGCTAATTTCGTTCTCTTCATAGCTTTGGCTCTTGTTGAATACTATCGTGATATTATTCTTGATAACAAGATGGATTTCACTGATATCATAAAGTTTTTTAACGAAATGGCTGAGAGACATAATGCCAGTAAAGTATTAAGTATTTCACGGGATTTGGTTTTACGTCTTCAAACTCTTATTGACAATAAGTAAAATTTGAAATTCAGGGTCCTGATTCACTCAAAAATCTTTTGATCAATTTTGTCATAAAGATGGTACCATAGTATTTCTCAATGTAAAATTTCACACTTGCAACAAAATATTTCAGTAAGATTTTTTTAAGGAATGGGACCCTTAATGGGGCTTTATTTTTGAAAATATAACTAAGATAATCCAGATTTAAGAAATACAGTAATTTGATTGGATCACAGAACTATGGTGAATTTAAAATTGATTTTAATGATTTACACTAAAATCATCTTAAGTTAAGTTTTGGAGAATAAGGTCCCTGATGTAAAACTAAAAATGAAGAGGCAATAATAGTTAGTTGTGATTTATTGTTACAGTCAGGGTTTGGTCTAGGAATATAAGAATGTAAATTATTAAAGCAGTACCAGTACTTACTATTACCATTAATTATACAGATTACAGATTAAGTTATATTTATAAGTATTAAGCTGCAAATAGACAAGGTGTGGTGTACGGAGCGGGATTATCGAAACAGTAGAAAATGGTAGAAGCAAATCGTTTCCGCACCATGTCCGAACCTGTATGTCATATATTCACTTCTTCTATTTTCTTATGTAGAGATTATTCCACTCCTGACAAGGTACCTTGCTATTTTCAGTTTCAGTCTTTTTGACAGTGAAAAAAAAACGTGTAGATCTCACAAACCTTTCTGGTATAGGTGTCACAATGAATCAATAAATATCTTTTATGAAATATTGAAAATTAAAATGCCATTCATGACGGTTTGCTCTTCCATGGCTACTTTCAACCCAGTGAGTTACTTGTAGTTAAAGTAATGCACAGTAAAATAACATAACCATAATTAAATGAAAGCATCAAACATTGAATAATTATGTTAATGAATTGAACTTTCATCAAGTACTTGTGAATGGATTACAGTATGATTTAAGACAGGTTCAGGGCTCATCAATGAGTTTTCGTGTTTGAAGTTTGAATGATCTTTCATCTATCATCAAGTAAGCTACTCATGAAATTCAGTAAGAAGTCGAAAATAAACCTTCTGAGCCTTAAAGATATCAAATAAAATAATCCTTGGTATTACCTTTAAGTTAGTTTGAGAAAAATAGGCTTTTCCTTTCCTACGATGAAGCCATTCACTTCTTATTTTAAAAAGAAATCTATATGTCCATAGGTCAGTATTGATTATTATGGTATAACAATGTTATTTATAGTTTTTCTAGTCTATCATTAGTATCACTGTCAATAGGAATGAACTCAGAACTGATGAAATATCTGGACTATTTTAACAGAATGATCCAGTTGCTAAAATTGTAAAAATTTTTATTATGGATACAATTGATGATACAGCACTGGAAACGTCTGTTAAAATTAATTGATTCATGGTAACAATTGAAATATATTTTAAAATTTATTCTGGTATATTTATGTGTGGAATTAGAAATTGATAAACCTGGTCATTTTAACGTAAATCAGAAATCAGCAATATATGATTGTGTTGCAAATTGAAACCAGAATATTTCTTTTGAATCTCAAAGACACAACGATATTTTTCAGATTGCTTGTATCGTCATTATTCCTTGACCCAGATATATTTTATCTTTGAAAATAAGCACAGGATGAATATGATCTTCATTATTATGCACTATTTTTTCTAGAATATGCACCCAATAGAACCTGTTAACATATAACCTTAATCAAGGCTGGCTATAGAAAAAGATTATGGAGGATATTTATATGCACATATCCATGATTCCTAATTCCTGTATTATTGTTACTGGTACAGGTAATTGAATTACAAAGAAAACCTCTAATGTGTTCATTAATTATGACTTAAACCTAAATTGTATCCTAAAATATATTGACAGCCATATTTACTATTTTATCAATTGGTATGTGCATATTAACATATCTGATATACCACACTGTCATATCAGTAAACTGTTAGCTCAATTTGCTTTATGAAGTACATTTGTTTATCTGTTTGGAAAGCTGAAATCAGTATAGTATATCTTCTAGAAACAATGATATTTATATACCAATTGTATGAAAAGCCATGCTATATATCCAGCCTTGATTATTTTAACCATTCTGTAGTATTTAATACAATTTACATATTTATAACGGCCCTTTACTGTAACATCCCTTACTTAACCCTGTGACTTAAAGGCAATGTCAAGCCAACTCTTTGGGTATCTCTTCTGGGGCTTAAAGAAGACAAAATCAAACTTCCAAGGGGTTTACAAGAATAATGAAATTGTTTACTACTGATGTAATACGGTACCAAACTGTTTTTGTGGATTTTAAGTGTCCGTCTCACCATAGCAACCAGCTCTGTATGGTTGCAAATATGAATAGCTGTTATGAGTTTTGAATGCAACTAAGTGAGGAACACATGACCACTTTCATCATTTGCAACAAAATTCAACTGGTAATTGCTATGGTGTAAGAGCACCTTTAGGTTTCACTATATGGAAGGAAGAGGGGGGGGCGTATTTTTCTATCACAGACATCTGCTGAAAACCCTCAAAATTAGGCTTGGCATTTCTTTTAATTAAACGATATGTATGATAAATAAAACCTGACATATATTTTAGCTTTAAATTTGTACATAAATTTTAATTCCTTTGCAAATGTGAATAATTCCAAGATCAAACCGTTTAAATTTATCGAGTATTTTTGTCCAAAATATTTGTGTTCTGGTCTAGAAATTTGTTTTGCAAATCGGCGAACATTGAGAAATGATATATATGTTCATTTGAAAACAATAAAATTTGACTCAGGGGGAATCTGTTTTGATTCAGTTGTAAGCTTTGCAAGTCTTGATTTCCCTATACATTTCTAGACCACATAGAAGATGGAATTCAACATTTTGTAAACGCATAAAGCAAAGAATTAATAGACTGTTAAAGTTCAGTCAAGAAGTCAATATTTGGGAATAACTTTAGCATAAATTTAACCATATCTTTATTGTGTTTGTTATTTATAATATCTCTTGGTATAATTAGTTATATAATGACAAACTGAAAGGTCACTGAAATAGTTAGATTAGAATGAATACTTACTTATAACTCTGGATGTCAGGCAAAATGTGGTGTGATTGTCAAATTCTTAACCATTTAGTAAAACACTTAATAGAAAATTTAGCCAATGTTGATTGGATGAATAAGTGTGTTATGTTGAAGCATATGCAATACCCAAATTCTCATTTGAGGAAATTATCTCCTTCATTGAAATATTTTACTCTTGGTTTTCAAAAAAGATTCCATTTTTGATTTGATTTTAGTGTTGAAATCCATCTTCTAATTTGTATGTATTGTTGTTAAAAGGCCTAAATTGAATAGTTTTATTAGTCCTCTATTGACTTTACTAGTAGATAGATCTCAATTTCAGCTACCCAAGTTTCCTTGTAATTTAACAATAACTAGTAGTATGTGTACAATTCTCAAGTTCTGTGCAGCTAAGATATAAAGTAATGTAAATAGATGACAACAGTTTAAACTTCCACAGCACAGTGAATTGTAGGGGAACCAACTGATTGACATTATAAAGCAAAGGTTTAGTTTTAGTGGAACTGCAAGAACCACAGATGTATGACTGGAAATTGGAATAGTGCTAAAATGAATATGCTATCAGTGTCCCTGAAACAAATAAATAATTTTAAAAAAACCTTTATAAATCTGTGTAAGCTGAATCAGCTGATAAAGCTAAGGTATTGATTACTAATGTATGTTAAAAAATCAGGTGTAGTTGATAGTAAGATTGATCAAAGGAGCTATTGATCAAAGTGATGGATTTATAAGGCACATCCTAATGCATTTAGTTTGCGATTTCAGCATCTGCTGGAACCAAATGTTAACTTGTCATCTACCAACTAACCACATTTAGTCAAATTCAAAAGCAAGAGATCAAAAGTGCTATTCTTTACTTTATTTGATAATTACAAAAATTCTATCATCTTTACAATGTTAAGCTATTACTACTTTAGGTTTATATCTTTACTCATATAGCCACCTTTCTTTTATCACAGAAGTTTGTAAATGCAGTTATTTTATTAGACTAAAGGATTTTTACAGTCTTTCTGTCAAGGGCTCTGATTGACTGTATTCACTGGCATACAATCCAATCAAATTGTTTCATTCTATAATACTAAAGATCCCTCTTCATTAGCCCACATGGTGCAGAAAAGTAGGACGTAAAACTCCATTCATCTCAATTTCCATTTCATTCTGTGATACAAGAAAGGTGGCTATTGTAGTCAAGGTATAAGCTGATGATCGTAATTACTTGACATTGTGATGATGGGTTTCTATTTGATTAAGATATTTCATATAGCAGTATTAGTATCCTAAGAATATCACTACACTTCATAGTATTTGGCAGGAAAAACAAACGATAAAGAATCTATATAATTTAGGCCTGATTATATTCATTGTTATTATTGTTGATTAATTGTTATTGTTAAAGTATTAATTATTTATAGTTTAATAACAGAAGGCTAATATTGTATAAATTAATTATACTAGAAATAAACTTTATGTTGTAAATGATGTTTATTATACTATAAATTGTAAAGCTGTCCCCTGTAGGAATTTCCAATAGGCTTAATTCTGCCACGTTTCTGTTGACAAATGGAACTTTTTATGCATTTTGATGTCTAATCTACATTATATGTCATGTCATGTTGCTAAGTGTAGATTCAACGATATGTAGTGCTAGCACTAGTTGTCACCTTGGCATTGATTGGACCAAAATCAATTCCCATGATGCATTAGTCTGGCACTTTTTGTGAGTATAACCATTTGGTTATAACAGAGAACTAGTATAACCATACTAGAGACCTCCACTTTCACAAAGAGAAATTCAGAAACCTTCGTTTTTTTACTAACCCTCAGTGGTTTATAATTCCAAATGTTACATCCTTAAGGATAATGATTTCACTTGCCAACCAAGATCAGACAAAATTGTTATGCATCTCATGTTCTGTAGCCTATAATCGGCCTGCTGCATTAACGTTAGCATCAATTGATTCTATTGCTTCAACATTTTATGGAACACAATTTAAAGAAGAACCTTGTGAGATCGTGGATGGCGAGTCTAGAATCTTGCAAAAATAATATAAAAGAAATGAAAGACCCAGAACTGCATTTTAAGCTGAATGAGTATAATTAATGGCTTACCATGCAGTTCAGCTAATAAATGGCCAAATGTCTTAGCAGTGTTCTTTCCCTTTACAATGCAATCAAATAGATTAATGAATATAAAAGAATTGACTTACTGCAAAGATCCATGGTGATTTAGCAATTTCAAACAATGAAAGTGGCACTTCAGCTTATTTACTTGAGACACCCTGATCTAAAACATACATGCAGTTGAGGCTAGTTCCAAATATTACACAATCTCAACACTTATTTTCTAGGAAACAAATTGACACAGTCTTAATTGATGTGGTACATTTTAGTTGAATTGTAAAGATAGTATTCTCAAACTTGTTCCAGACAGCTGAAATTAAACTCTATTATCTGATAAAGCAAACAATAAGAGGATTATATGCATATTTGATATTTTATTCTTCTATATTTTAATCAGATTGTTTGGAATTCCAATATTCTATTTCAATATTTATTTTTTACATCTTTACTTTCGTAGGAAGAAGATGATTTACCATTTGAAGAAGATATATTACGTAATCCCTACTCTGTTAAATGTTGGTTGAGATATATAGAACAGAAGAAATCTGCCACCAGTTCTGTTATAAATGTTCTATATGAGAGAGCTCTAAAAGAACTACCAGGAAGGTGAGCAGTAAAATGCGGTTTTCTACAAAATTCATATGTACAGGAGACATTGATAGCATGGAATTGCACTATTTCATTTTTCAATCAGACGTCTGTGTTTCTTGCAATTCCACTAAAAGTAATCGTTTTATGACATTACTATCGCAAAAGGCCTTAATTATCAGCTTTTTCTATAGTGACATCATAAAATGCTCACTTGTAGTGGAATTGCAAGAAACACAGACATCTGACTGAAAAATGCGAATTGATGATATCAGTGTTCCAGATACACATACATTTAGAAAACTTCTTTACAATCCCTTTAATGCTTTTTCATCAGAAAAGTCTTTTTGGCACACCTATCTAGACAAATGGCACCTTATGAAAGACATTGCTGTTCTTAATACTGTAATTTTTGGTATTATTGAAACTGATAATATGTAATTTTTCTAGCTATAAATTATGGTACAACTATTTAAAACTACGTCGAAATCAGTTGAAAGGAAAGTGTGTAGTTGATCCAGCCTATGAAGATGTTAATAGTGCGTATGAACGATCCTTGGTATTTATGCATAAGGTAAGTATCTTCTCGTTATTATGTTACATATAGTAAAATTTAAAAAAAAGAACATTGTTGGCCTGTATTACAAATTTGATCTAGTAAATTATAGTATATAGATAGCTTGATGGAAACTTGGGGGCCCTTGATTGGTGACTTGTAAACAACTTCCATCTGTTTCAAATCTAGGAATGGAACAGGATATGTAATATGTATGATAATGTACTGTTCTCTTAGACTATTTTTCTCATCTTAATGCTTAATGTTTTAGATGCCGAGAATATGGATAGATTATTGTCAGTTATTAATGGATCAAGGAAAGATAACTCGATCTAGAAGAACCTTTGATCGTGCTCTACGTTCGTTACCAGTTACACAACACAATAGAATCTGGCCACTGTATCTCAAGTTTGTTAGATTATATGATTTAAAGGAAACAGCAGTCAGAGTTTACAGAAGACATTTAATGGTAAGTTTGAAGCTTTCACACTGCATCCTATGCGATCATATCAAGAACAAGGGCAATAACTCATACTCAATATTATTCAGTATCGCCCTAAAGAGTTCAAAGAAGTGTATGACTGAAGGTTAAATATTTCATACTGGTGATTGTTACTGTACTGCTCAATATTTTTATTCAAAATCAAAGCTGCCAGTGGGCATGTATTAGCTTGCCTGACAAGCTATCTTCAAATATTAATTTCGATGGAGGCACTTGGTCGATTCATAGTTTTCGATTAAAAATCTTGATATATTTTCTCTTATATTTGCACAGTTACAGAAAGAGACAGCAGAAGAATATATAGAATATTTAATATCTATAGGATGGTTAGATGAAGCCGCTATCAAATTAGCTGAAATCATTAATGATGAAACTTTTGTGTCAAAAAGTGGTAAATCAAAACATCAGGTAAAGGTTATATTCAAGTTTGATTTTGTTTAGTATTTTTGATATAATCATAACATGAACACAGCTTGCACATGGCCAGTAATTGGAATTAACCACATTCTTATAAACTTTATTTGATTGTGAATTCTATTTCTGTTTTGTCTAGTTATGGAATGAACTCTGTGAGTTGATAGCTAAAAATCCTGATAAAGTGACATCCTTGAAGATTGAACCTATTATAAGACAGGGTTTAAAACGCTATTCAGACCAGATTGGTGTGTTGTGGAATTCTCTAGCTGATTATTACATTCGGGGAGGCCATTTTGAAAGGGTAGGTGTAACTTATTTACCTTATATCTAGCTGGAATAGAGGTGTTATATGGATGACATTTTAGTCTTAAGAACTGTATTTTTTATTTACTATCATTATGACAGAAGCAACACTACACCAATTTTTATAAAAAAGATAATCTTTTGAATAAAATAAATAATTAATTTCTTGTTAGAAGTTTATTTGAATAATGCAATTTTCATTGTAGTAGTTCTGAAGACTTTACAAATATTCAAGGCCCAAATCAACCCCAAAGATAACTCACCTAGTCCCTCTAAGGGGCCTTATTGGGAGCAGAAAAGTAGACGATATAAGTCTATTTCATTCCATCACCAAGCATTGTTAGGGTTAGATGATTTGCATAACATTTAATTTCTATACAGGCTAGAGATATATATGAAGAGGCTATACAAACAGTTATAACAGTACGAGATTTTACTCAAGTTTTTGATGCTTTCTCTCAGTTTGAGAAATCTATGATATCAGCTAAAATGGAATCAATGGAAGAGAGTGGAGCAACTGAAGAAGGTAAGAAACTACTGTCTGTCTGCAATATTTCAATTTAATTTAAATGACATTATGAACCTTGTTCCAATTTTCATTCATTTTGATTGATTCCATGAATCCGGAATATATATAGAACTCGCAAATTAAGTACTTCGTACAAATAAGTGCATAGTTTTAATTCTTTGCTCAGGTGCACAAATAAAGATATGGGCCATATAAGAAAAAATTTATAATCGTTATTCAGGATGCATTCAATAATGTTCAAAACAGCATTTATCATATTTTCATGCACATTTTTGTTAGTTTTCTAGAAATCTACCCAACTTCCTTGTTCGAACTAGTTTCACTCCAATAATCTACAATATTTCTGTTTTGAAAACAATACCATTAATCTGATTGTATTTGTTGTAGATGATGTTGAATTAGAATTGAGGTTGGCTCGGTTAGAAGATCTAATGGATAGAAGACCATTATTACTCAATAGGTAAATAAGTCTATAACATGGCAAACAAGGCAAATGCCAAATTTGTGAAACAATAACTAAACCTAAAAGCTTGGGAATCTCTGTAGTATACCCACTGTCCTTTCTGCTTAAAGAAAATATGGAAGATATTAATCCATATTGGATAAGGAATAATGTTAATTTGCGTTTTATTTGAAAGGGATTGATTAAAGTTTCACAATGATTAATTTCGTTTGTACGTCCATTTTTGGTGAAAAAAAAGAAAGATTTTTGAGCCTAATTTCTTACAGTGATTCTTATTAGGACAATACAGTGCAAAACAAAATTCCATGATCTTCTTCTCATGATGAGTAAAATATACTATATAGGTTAATAATTAGATTTAATACTTAGAAATGAAGTGTTGCCCAATTGATATTATCTCATCTCATACTGCCAATACATGTTTTGTATATTAATGACAGGATGGAATGGAAAAAACGAGAGAATATGCGTATTTTGATATTGATATATAAATATACACACACAAGAATTCCCAAAAGGGTAAAAAAGATTTATTTTATATTTTCAAGTTGAAATTTATTTTGTCAACTAAAAATATTTGTTACAGTGTATTATTACGACAGAATCCACACAATGTACATGAATGGCATAAACGTGTAAAATTATACGAAGGTAAACCAAGGGAGATAATAAATACCTATACAGAAGCTGTTCAGACTGTAGACCCACAACTAGCATCTGGTAAACCACATACACTGTGGGTAGAATTTGCCAAATTTTACGAAAATGCTGATCAGATTGATGATGTAAGTAGAATTTATCAGTATTTTCTCTATCTCAACTTTAGTACAGTCGTTGGACTTTCATAGCACAGTCGTTACATGTTATTTACTTGGTTTTTACAATTTAGACCTAGTTTAAATGAAACAATATTCATTGGTGAGCTAAATTCAGGAAGTTTGTACTCAATTTCTGTTTCTTTGTTATTTCCTGGCCATTGTGAGGATCTATAGCACAGTTTGTTAGATCATTGGTTCTGTACATGACATCATTTGCTTGGTTACGTTGAGCAAATGGCGGCTGTGGGTTTCGATCACTATCGGCGTGTGATAGTCCGATGACCTTGAATTAGTCTTCTTCACTCATAATTCCAGTCGACCCAGCTGTAAATGGGTACGGATAATCCGAGAAAGATCAATGTCAAGAGGTTTGGCTAAGGACCAGCTGGTAGAAAGGATCCTTTAATGTGAATCGAAGTTGTTATCCTTATAAAAAATATAGTTGTATCTTTGTCAGTGATGTAGGTGAAACAGACTATTTCTTCAAAATTCCATTTTTCATTTCTTTTTATTAGCTTTGATTTTACCATGTGTGGTTAGGGGATTTATCAAATTTTGAGATTGTAGATTTGATAAAAATTGCATTCACTTGATAATGAATAATTGTATGTATATCGATTACAGTCGAGAGTTATATTTGATAAAGCAACTAAAGTACCATATAAACATGTTGATGATTTGGCGTCTGTTTGGTGTGAGTGGGCAGAAATGGAAATTAGACAAGAGTGAGTATGCAAGAATTTATTTTTGATTCATATTTTAAAAGAGGAAGGACAGGTATCAAAATACAGAATAAAAGAATTGTTTAAAAATGAAGTTTCCTTGAAAACAGATTTGATCAATTTCTGTTATTGTCATAAAGTCCTTCTTGATGTTGTTCCATTCGGTCCCTGCGAATCTCTGTTAACGTCTCAAAAGTGGTCCCAAAAAACATGATTGTGTAACCAATCTAAAGTTGACCTTTTATCAGATGAATATGTAAACCAAACTTCTCAGAATTTGAAAATGTTTTGTAAATATATAGTCCCTATAACTGCAGCCTCTTGGTATTTTTCTTCAAATAACATCTATTTCATGACAAAATGACAAAAGTTTTTTAGACAAAATTTTCAATGCTCGATCTAAATCTGATTTTAATTTTTCAGCAATAATGAGGAAGCTTTAAAATTGATGCAGAAAGCTACAGCACCCCCTCCTAGAAAAACAGCATACCATGATGAGGTGAGTCATTTATTGAATGAATTGAAGATAATAAATTTTCTCGTATTTGAAACGTAAAGTGCCAAACCACCCTATTTAAAATTCTTAAGATTAAAATGATGTTTTTGATTTTTATTGTAGACTGAAACTGTACAAAACAGAGTTCATAAATCATTAAAAGTGTGGAGTTTATATGCTGATTTAGAAGAAAGTTTTGGTACATTTAAGGTAGATAGCTACATTTTTCTTGCCTTCCCGACCTAAATGCTTTCTATGATTCACATCACTCATTTTGAAAGTAGACTTGGGAACAATCCTTATGTTTGTTCTAGTGTAGTCTTAAAGGGATTGTAAAAAGGTTTTGGAAACTTTTTATGTATATTGGGAACACTGATAGCATTGATGTGCTCCTGTCAAATTTTCTGTATAGTCTTGTACTTGCAGTTGCAAATGATGACTTTGGTGGGTCTGTTTACCAAGGATTGTAGTTGTATTAATATTTGTAATCTGATAGTTATGTTGATACTATAATATATTTATTTTATAGTCATGTAAAGCAGTATATGATAGAATTATAGATTTAAGAATAGCTACTCCTCAGATTATAATCAACTATGGTATGTTTCTAGAAGAAAGCAACTATTTTGAAGAGGCATTTAAGGTATCTTTCTTTCCATTATTTTTAAGTTCTATAATATGTAGCCTGTAGTATGATTTGATTTTATTTTTCTGTATGTATATATTTTTTATTTTCTATTTTTCTTCTTTGTAATTATTGTATTTTACTTAATTCTATTGTGTAAATACATGTGAATATCGTTTATACAAAAATAGATTAAGGTAAGGTAGTTCAACTGACATAAATAAAATAGAGAAATAATGAAAAAACACAAAGTGATGAGAGAGATATTTATAAGACCAAATAAATTTTCACACAACCTTTTTGGTGGTGGAATTTTTTTGTGTCTGAAATGATAATCGATATACATATATTTTTAATTGTATATTGTTAAATTTTAATATTATTTTATTCAGGCATATGAGAAAGGAATAGCATTATTTAAATGGCCTAATGTATATGATATTTGGAACAATTACCTGGCAAAGTTTATACAAAGATATGTAAGTATTGAAAATCCATTATATTGCTTAAAATACATTATTTGAATTAAATTTTAGAAATATTAAAAAAAACCTGAATTTGCTGCATTTGATAAGAGTTTGTTTCACTGTTTATGAATAATGAACTCTATGAGTTATAATGGTATGATTTATAAATAGACTAGAACCTGAAACATGTTGCAACTCAGAGTTTCATGCTGTGTGATATTCATTCAACTGTGTCCTTGCTGAAAGTAATTAAACTGTATAAATATATTTTATTTTCTCAGGGTGGTAGTAAGCTAGAACGAGCTAGAGATTTATTTGAACAATGTTTAGAAGACTGTCCTTTAAAATATGCTAAATGTAAGTATAAAACAGGATAAGTCTGGGTTTAATTTGTAATGATGAATATATAGTGGCTCTTGAATGGTGAGTTCTGCTTGTTCAGGATTCATGGAAGCAACCAAAAGTTGAATAGAACAAGTTAGAAGAGGAGTCCACTTGCGCTTAATGTAAACATGTAGACATAATTCAGAATGTCAGACAAATTGTGTGTTTTTTGAAAGTGAAATATATTATGTAAATACAAGTACCAATGATCCTATCCACAAATTGATACCTGAAATCCAAAATAACATATTGCTTAAACCTTGGTAGCAGCAAATGAACTTTTCATAAGTGAGGTGATTAATTTATTGACATTCAGAATTGGAACGGACAGAACCAGAAATGAGTCTGACTCTATTTATGTATTGCAGCAATCTATTTACTGTTTGCTAAACTAGAGGAGGATCATGGTTTAGCTAGACATGCTATGGCTGTATATGATAGAGCTACCAATGGGGTCTTGCCAGAAGAACAAAATGAGGTAAACGCATCTACCATCTGAATTTTTTTGTTACTGGATCTATTTTTATCATTTTAATATATTTTTAGTGATCTAGAATTGATGGAAATATTATATGAAATTTTTCCTCAATTTTGACTATTTTTTGTTTAAATATTAATTTAGAAACTATAACTTGTGTATTATATTTTAGATGTTTAATATCTATATCAAGAAGGCAGCTGAAATCTATGGAGTAACACATACTAGATCTATTTATGAGAAAGCTATAGAAGTATTAAATCATGAACAATCTAGGTAGGTACACCTATTAATGATCTGAATATGTTCTTCTTATAAGTCAGTACAACTACTAAGGAATAACGAAACGCAAGCCTCTTCACACTATCTTGCTATTTTCGATTGATGACAAGACATAGACATATTTTAAGAATGAAATGAAACTAAAATTTGTATCTTTTTGAATTATATTGGGGTTGCGGTGAAGGGAGGATTTGATTCTGTGGAATGTACAGGTCTATAATACTTTATTAAGAAAAAGGAATAAATGGTCTAGAGTGCTGGGTATTTTTCTTCTGATCTGATCTTATTATATTGAGGTTATAAATGTATTGAAATTTTTGACTATGGAGCAATAAATTTTTCATTTTACAGTAAAAAATATATTAAAAGGATTGTAAAGAGGTTTTCTAAATTTTGTCTGTGCATCAATTTGCGCCATCCTGTTTTCGATAAGACGTCTGTGGTTTTTGCTATTCAACTAAAAACTAAGTATGACGTCACTAATTGCAAAATATGCTTTATCACATAAGAACATTCGCGTTTTAGTGGAATTGCAGGAATCTCAGACATCTGATCGAAAATTGGAATGGTGCAAATTGATGCTATGTCCCTGATATACATTAATTTAGAAAACCTCTTTACAATCATTTTAATAGACATCTAGATGGAGACAGAAACTAACTTACAACTATATTTCAGTGTTATTAAATATTTATTTATCTTTTACAGAGAAATGTGCCTGCGTTTTGCAGATCTAGAAAGGAAATTAGGTGAAATAGATAGAGCCAGAGCTGTTTATGCTCATTGTTCTCAAACATGTGATCCTAGGGTAAGACCATATATATAGATATATTGACAGTATAGTCCTTAAATGGCACTGTGAGTACTGGTTGAATTTTAATGGTGCATTTCTCCAGTTGCACATGTGTCCATATATAGATATAACTTTTCCGTACTTTCATCCATGAACTACTCACTAAGGTCAACATTGCTGTTAACTTGGTGTTAGCCAGTCATTGACATCAAGTCATCAACTTGCAAATGCCATCTTGAGATTGTAGGCGCTCTGACTAACTGAACTGCTTTATTCTCAGCACTCCAGTTAGCATTTATCCAGGCTGCATTTATGTCTACAGCCCAAAACCACTGTTTTATCCACCGTTATCATTATATCAATGTTAATTTAAAAATTTATTTAATGATTTTTGTCCTTTATGTATATAGACAACAGAAAAATTTTGGGCTACATGGAAAGAATTTGAAATCAAGCATGGTAATGAAGATACAGTAAGAGAAATGTTACGTATAAAACGTAGTGTACAGGCCACGTATAATACACAGGTATTTAGACGTTATTATTTCTTGGTTTGTTCTCAGACAACAGCATAGCTTTAAAGGGATAGATGCACCATTTTGGGGGATTGATTTTTGTCTTGAATATATGTTAATAGTCTTCAGAAGTACAAGAAGTATTAGAAAATCGCATAATTCCTTCAAAAACTCTATATAGATATGTCTTTTCTATATATCATGAGTCATTTTAGTATTCTAACGCAGAATTCTGGACAACATGGATTCGAAGGCTCAAATTTCGACGGTGAGCTGTGAACACTATAACTGTTGGCTTATCTAAAAAAAATTCCTGTTTCTGAGACTAAAGTATGTTTGGTAAAATAAAATGGCGCACCAATCCCTTTAAAGAAATACTACCTCTCAGAATGGACATAAATTAAGATTGAAAAATGCTTATAAGCATTTTATATTATAAGACACCCGGTAAGTCCACACTGCAATCTTCAGAAATATTTCTATATCAATTGATGAGTGGTATTTACATATCTCTCTACAATATTGATACACGTATTGAAATATTAAAACACACTATGCAGTCTTCAGATAACTGTCTATCTGTTTTAATATTGATGTATTTAGTAGTATTTGAACAGTTATTATGATATTTATGTATTATTATTGTTATTTTAGGTGAATTTCATGTCGGCTCAGATGTTGGTAGCTACTGGGAATAAAACAGGTATAGTCTTTCTTGCAAATAATATTAATATGATATTGCTTCTGTAAGAAAATTAGTATAAGGCCATACAAAATAAATAGTCTGTTTTACAGGCCTTTTTCTCAACAATCTGGACGAGAGGGCGAATTTATTATTTATTATTTATAAGTGCTTTTTTAGATTTTCCACTGGAATAAATCGGAGCGAGCAGAAGCATTTATTTTTAATTACCACAAATTTAATGTACATTTAATATTAAGGCAACAATCAGGCATTTTAGGGCCTGTAAAACAGACTATTTATTCTGTATGTTGTAAGTAATATATATACCACAGTTCTTGCAACTTAATATATTTAAACTACCGAGTTAGAGTTTAAATATGTTAATGAGTAAGACATGTGGTATAATGTATGACTTGTAACATAAATACAATGATTGACAGCTTATTACTTATTACAACATTGTGCAAGTCATGATTTTTGTTAAAAAGGGGGTGGAGCTTCAGCCGTGCAATAATATCAAAATGACTTGGTTGTAGTATACCTAAGCTCCACCTACTTTCCTCTAATTGCTTTCATGTTAAGTTATGCAAGTATGGTACAACAACAAATTACTAATAACAGACGGTGGTTTTCCTCGAACTCATATTTTAAGCAAATCTTAAAAACGAAATTGCAAAGATGCAATTTACTAGTGCAATGAACTATTATTTCTGGTTTAATATGACACAAGTTAAACAATATTTACACTGTATACCACATAACAACACTGATAATATGACATTGATAGAATTTGTCATGTGGGAACAGTTTTTTTGTATCAGAACCTTCCACCATCAGCAATCAATTACAAAATTGCAGATCGTTGATATTGAAAGGGGAAAAATGAGAAGTTTTCTTAAATGCACCCTGAGTTTGGCCAGCTCTTTTAGGCTAAAAACTGTGTACTATATATACAAATGAATGGTAAATAATTAAAGTGGTTCAGCTACATTCAAAGCTTATTCATCTCCATGCAAATTAAAATACCTCCTTTTTAAACAATTGAGTTATTTTTAGAAACTGGTGAAGTTAATGAGATGCAGAAATTAGAAGAAAAGGCACGACAATTAGCTGAAGAATCATTAAGAGACCAACCTCAAGCTGATAAGAAATTACTATTTGTAAGGTAAGTAGATAAAGATTATAATAATAACTGTAATAACCAGTCTCAGCAATGAATATTCATATTATCATAATTCTATGATACAAAAATAACCCATGGAATTTTTTTAGAAGATTTCCCAATTAAAATATTTTGATTATTGATTGATACCTTGCCGTCGATAATCAATCTCAATTTGGTAATCGATACCCAGACCTAGTCCAGTCAAATGGTCCAGTCTAACATTCAGCCAATGGAATTATTTAGAGTGTAGAGTGAATTATTTAGAGTGAATTATTTAGGTTGTAAACGAATGTGTTTAGAGTGAATTATTTAGGTTGTAGACGAATGTGTTTAGAGTGAATTATTTAGAGTGAATTATTTAGGTTGTAGACGAATGTGTTTAGAGTGAATTATTTAGGTTGTAGACGAATGTGTTTAGAGTGAATTATTTAGAGTGAATTATTTAGGTTGTAGACGAATGTGTTTAGAGTGAATTATTTAGAGTGAATTATTTAGGTTGTAGACGAATGTGTTTAGAGTGAATTATTTAGAGTGAATTATTTAGGTTGTAGACGAATGTGTTTAGAGTGAATTATTTAGAGTGAATTATTTAGGTTGTAGACGAATGTGTTTAGAGTGAATTATTTAGAGTGAATTATTTAGGTTGTAGACGAATGTGTTTAGAGTGAATTATTTAGAGTGAATTATTTAGGTTGTAGACGAATGTGTTGAGTGAATTATTTAGGTTGTAGACGAATGTGTTTAGAAGTTCTGTTCAATGTATTAGTATCTCATAACTTTAGTGTTAAAAGAGGACAGTATTTGTGGTATATAATCAGTCAACAGTGTTTTTTAGGAAAACAAATTGGTATTTTGTCAAGAGCAATACTAAAACATCATAAACAATTTAATAGTCTTTATTTGCTATGTATGTTTTTGTTTATTGAAATTGTAGAAGTTCCACTACAACAGAAGAATTGGGAGAACTGACTAAAACTAACAATCCTGAAGAGATTGATATTGATGAGTTTGAAAGTGATGATGAGGCTGAGATTGAAGGTAAATTTTCTAAAATGGCTGCCAAAATCTGTGGTCTTACTCATTCCATATTGGATCGGACTATAAACCAAGGCCCTGTGTCCTACAGGCGGTGCAGTTAATTGATAATTGATAATCGGAGGCTCATCATAGTACTGTTTTGGCAAAATTGGGGTGGGGATAAGACCTTCAGATTTTTTAACCCAGTTTCACCTGTTAATGATACAGATCACTGGGACTGACATGGAAGAAGTGTCTCCGTTAGAACAATTAACCAAGTCCAATGCATGCCACGGACTGTGCAGATTATCCCTCGACAGTCAAATGATATGGACATGGCAAAGTTTACTTCATTGACACTGCATGATTACTGTAGCCAGTTTTGATTAGTATAATCAGAGAAAAGAAAGATGCTTCTAGTTTGTCTGT